GTAGAAAGCCTCATCTTTCTCCCGCGGAGCGGCTGGTAGTTTCGAACCGCTGACCTTAAGGTTCGCAGCCCGATTCATAACCACTACGGAGGGGAGGATATTTCCCTTAGGGGACACCCTTCGTTTCAAGGCATTTCTCATACCAAAATTTCTGACCTCCTACCACTAGGTGGCAAGATAGAATCTCCACGCTCTAGGAAAGGGCTACGCAGGGCGGAGCGTTTGAGACTTTGGCGCGCAGCTTCCGACACTATTATCTGGGGACACCGGAAGAAGCTCGTTCTCTTTCCTGCTCAGCGCCACCATGGTAAGGCTGGTATTTTGTGAGCTCTTGGAACGCATCCGTTCTCATCCTCCCCTAGTTGAGGTTTTCCCTGGCAACGAGCCCCCCGCGGGGAATGGCCGGGCAGAGGCGAAGGGATCGCGGGCTCAGGGGTTGGTTCTGGTGGGTTACTAGGCGAGGGCGACTGCCGGCCCCGGGCAGGGTGTTTAGGCCTATGCCGCTGGAGGCAAGGCCTAAGTCTCAGGCCCTGCCACGCCAGGCAGCATAGCTTTCGACCGCAGGTGAAGAGGCTTTCCTTCTGAGCTGGTTGGCCTGGAGGACAGACGACGGGCCCGGGGCGACCTGGCCTTGGGTGCTGGTAACACCTGGTAGAGAATGGTTTTTTCCTTGTCATTGTCTTTTGACATGCCGTGACTTAACGTGTGCTTGGTAAGCATGTGTGCACCGCATTAAGAAGTCCTATTTATAAATTGAAAAAAAAATGTCAGCTCTTGTCTTTAGTGGTTGTGCTGAAGTGGTTTAATCCCTCACTAGGTACTTAAGAACCAGACGATTATACCGTGAAAACAATTATTTGTCTTATTAGAAAATGGAAGGGCAGGATACTGGTCCATTTCTGTTGCTTTTTGTGTGCCAGTCCCAACCCTTGGCCAGATTGCCAGCATGGTATACTAGAAAGAATACAGTCTCTGAAAGTTTGCACAACTAAGATTGGATTCCTAGCTCCACTTTTAAACAGTAACATGGAAATGTTTAGCACAGTACTGAAAGAGAGTAAACATTCTCTGGACAAAGAGAAGCCTGTGGAGCCTGTAATAGTTGCTATGTTCTGTATGACTGTTTCTCTGCTTTTTACCAAAATCCTGTGATGTATAACATTGTTCATAATTTGCCATAAAAAGCAGCCAACTCAATTCTTTAAGGAAGTTCTACACTAGCCTTTGTAAGCTGTTGAAAAATGTAAAAATCATATAATCCCATTGCAATCTAAAACTTGTTCAGGCTCGTGGTCCCAAGAAACATCTTAAGCGTGTGGCTGCCCCCAAGCATTGGATGCTGGACAAACTGACTGGTGTGTTTGTAAGTATATCTTATGTGTGTTAAGTATTAGATACATGTGTTAGATACATATAAGGGGATACACATCTATTTAAAAAAACTTTGTAGCACTTGGTTTTCAAAATGCCTCCCTGAAGTCATTGGAGGGCTAGGGGAAGAATATTGCTTGATTTCATCGGTTATCTAATTCTGTACTATCCGGCTGCATCACACTGTTTGTTTAATAGTGTGCTTCATTTGTTCCATATATAGCTAACATGCATTCAGAATACACATGCTAGTTCTTGATGAGCCTGGGCCTTTGAAGGGAAAAATGTTTTACTGCTTTTACTTTATAGGCTCCACGCCCATCCACTGGCCCCCACAAACTGAGAGAATGCCTCCCACTGATCATTTTCTTAAGGAACAGACTTAAGTATGCCCTGACAGGAGATGAAGTTAAAAAGATCTGTATGCAGCGGTTCATTAAGATTGATGGCAAAGTCCGAACTGATATAACATATCCTGCTGGTTTTATGGGTAAGTAGTCATTTGGCAGGAATGCTGGTGTGGTACTGTAGGATAAACACTGGTCTGCAGTTCAAACCCACCAGCTGCTCTGAAACCCTTTGCCAGGGTCACTATGAGTCTGAACTGAGTCACTGGCAGTTAAAACAACAGGCATTTGGTGGTTCCTCCTTTGGTTATTTTATTTATCTCCTCCAAAATGGCAGTTGTATTAAATGGTGCTAGACTTTTCTGAGATGGTTTTCTGGAAGTTTGAATTGCCAGGAAACCTATACAATGTGGAGTATTAGAAGCTTTTTCAGATTAAGTAGTCTTAAGACACTTACTGGGAAAGCCAGTATGATAACTGAATATTACCTTGATTGTAATATTAACCTGGAAGCACAAGCTTGATTTTATATTCCTGTCAGTTTCTTAGAAATAAAATATGACCTCCCCTAGTCCCCCTGTTTCTCAAAGTACAACTGCCTGCAAATAATTGAGTCACTTCTCAAACCCAAATTTTAATTCAATTTAATGGAATCAATAAAGTAGCGATCCTTGTTAATGTCTGAAATGGGAAATGCATAGGATTGGGGGGGGTTGTTCAGCAGGGGGTAATGGAAGATAACTACAGTGAATTTTATTACTATTGAAATCAGATGTTATCAGCATTGACAAAACCGGAGAACATTTCCGTCTGGTCTATGACACCAAGGGTCGATTTGCTGTTCATCGTATTACACCTGAGGAGGCGAAGGTGAGTGTGAAGCCCGCTAGATCTTTACTCAGTAAAATTTACTTGGTTCTAAGTTATAGCTTGATGATTCCCCTTTTTTTATTACTGCTTTCCACCATATATCTATGATAACCATCCCATGTTATTGTTTTGTTAAGTGTCATGGAGTTGGTTCCAACTCCAACCCTGTATAGGGTTTCCTTGGAGCAGTTGGTAGATTTGAACTTCCAGCCTTGTGGTTAGTAGTCCTGGTGTGGTGTACTGTAGGATAAGCACTGGACCAAAGGTCTGTGTGATCCACAAGGTTGGCAGTTCAAACTCAACAGCAACTCCTTGGAAACCTTGTACAGGGTCACTATGAGGTGGAACCAACTTCACAGCGCTTAGTAATTCACTTCTGTGTGAAGTTGGCTTCCTTAAAAGCTTGTCCTTGTCCTTTTTTTTTTTTTTTTTTTTAATGATAGAGATTAACTCCAATTGAGCAGTGACTTCTTGTTTATCATGTTTTAGAGGCAAGGAGAATGATATCTAGAAACATTTATGGGTGCCCAATGTCTGGGTTCTTTGAAATGTTTGGTAATAAAGTTGGTATGTGAGACAGTCATTGGTAGAGGGTGCTGATAATTGTTAGAGATAATAGGGTGTGTTGGAGGTAAGAATTTAGGAGGCTTAACTGGTGTGGCGCTGTGGGTTGATGTGCCAGACTACAAAGCCGTTTGAACTGCAAAGTCGGCAGTTCAAGCTCATCAGCTGTTCCTTAGAAACCCTATACAGGGTTGCTATGGGTTGGAATTGACTCGATGGCACTTAACAACAGCAAACCTAGGAAAAGGAGTGGGGTTTTTATTGGAGGAAGACAATGGTGTGACAGTGAGTAGACGAGCCAGGAATTTTAGAAGTCCTTGTAAGGGGATTTATATGGTCCATCTGCCTTGGGCATTAATAGAGATAAACATAGAGGCAGGGATTTGAAAGTATTAAGACTGGCCTAGAAATGGGGACAGTGTGCAAGATAATTTTGTGAAAGATGGAAAGAAAAACGGGGTACAATTAGCAGTGAGTTAACTTTCATCTACCCTGGAGCTTGATGTGTGAACTAGACTAAATGTGGCCTTGTATGATTTTAGTACAAGTTGTGCAAAGTAAGAAAGATCTTTGTGGGCACGAAAGGAATCCCCCATCTGGTGACCCATGATGCTCGTACCATACGCTACCCTGATCCCCTCATCAAGGTGAATGATACCATTCAGATTGATTTGGAGACTGGAAAGATTACTGATTTCATCAAGTTTGATACTGGTAAGCAGCGACTGCACTCCTAGCTAGTCTCTTTGTACCACCACTTTGAGAGTTTTGTTTTGAAGCTTTCCACTTGATTCTGATAAACATCTCTAATTAACAACCAAAGCTACATGTCATTTTGTTGATGGTAGTAAGGGGCTGAAAATATTCAGAGGCCCAAATGCTCCAAATATCCTCTTGTTTGCGATCTCGGCAAGAAAGCCTGTCCAAAAAGTGAACCAAACTAATAATGAAACAGGCCTTAGTAATATTGACATAATCTTAGTGTTAATCTTAGGAATCCTTGTTGGTGTCTGTAGCAGGAGAGAACTATACGTCAGGGGCAGTGATGGTCAAGATGATAGAATGGGTGGAAGAGGTGGGGTTTGCATTTGTTAAATATGCGTGAGGGACATGACAAATCCTAATGCTGAGAATAATGGATCATATTAACTATTGAATGAGTATGCTTGGAGCAGATTATATTAGTGTATTCCTTCTTGCCTAGGTAACCTGTGTATGGTGACTGGAGGTGCCAACTTGGGAAGAATTGGTGTGATCACTAACAGAGAGAGACATCCTGGCTCTTTTGATGTGGTTCATGTGAAAGATGCCAATGGCAACAGCTTTGCCACCCGACTTTCCAACATTTTCGTTATTGGCAAGGTAAATCTGGGTTTCTCTTCTCTATAGTTCAGGGAAACACGTAAATTCAAACCATCCATTAGTATTTTCCAGGGAGGGGCGCTGGTGTGGCGCTAGGATAGCTGTTCAAACCCACCAGCCATTCAGAAAACCTATACAGGATCCGATCGAGCTGCGAACCGCAAGGTCACCAGTTCAAAACTACCAGCTGCTCCGAGGGAGAAAGACGAGGCGATCTGCTCCCGTAAAGATTTATAGCCTCGGAAACCCTGTTCAGGGTCGCTATGGGTCGAAACCAACTCGATGGCACTTAACAACAACAACATACAGGATGCATTCAGAAAACCTATACAGGAACACTAAGTTCAACCAACTTGACTGCACACAGCAACAATCAGATCACCAGGTGTTTGTCCCACTGAGCTGTCGAGAGGGTTACAACCACCAGTACTTTTACAAATGTAAAGTGCCTTTACATATTGTTAAGTGCCTTTGAGCTGGTGTACTCAAACCACTGATTTTGTGATTCACAATCCCTATGGTTATCTTACAGATTCACTACACTACATAGATGTATACATACCTACTTAAATAACCACACATTTTTGTTGGTATGGTGCTACTTAATGGGTGCTTATTGTGCACAGTAAACTCACGAGATAATTATGACGGGTATTATAGTTCATTCTCATCTGCATACCTTGGAAGCAGGATTAATAATAGAAAGACCCTGGCAATTCATCTCCATCCATGTCTTGCTACATGGCTATCAAGTTGGTTCCAAGTCACAGTGACCCTGTATAAAGTTCCCAAGACTGACTCTTCACAGGAGCAGAATGCCTCATTCTCCCAAGGAGTGGCTGGCATGGATTCCAACTGCTGACCTTGGCGGTTAGCAGCCCAACACAATTCATTACTATCAGGACTCCTTTTAAAAGGCTTCAGTTGTGTGAAGTGAGATGGTAAATGTAGCATTTACCAAACTACAATGAAGTTGGTGTTTAGGCTTTGATTTTCCTTGTTTCTCCTTCAGGGCAATAAACCATGGATTTCTCTTCCCCGAGGAAAAGGTATCCGCCTTACCATTGCTGAAGAGAGAGATAAGAGACTGGCTGCCAAGCAGAGCAGTGGGTGAAATGTTCTCTAGGAGATGTGAATGAACAAATCTTTACATAATTAAAGATATTAAACACATTATTGTCTCCTGGATTTATTGAAATTTCCTGCTAGTTTATGACATGAAAAGTAGGTTGAATTCTCCAACAGGTAAGCTGTTGGGAGGGACAGGGTGGATGGTAAAGCAGACAGACCTCAGACCTATTTTGGGACAGCTAAATAAGGCCGTGGAGTCAGCAGAAGTGAGTTTGAGAACAAGACCAGAATCAAGAATTTGGACTAGGAACATGAAAATGAGTATGCTCTTGAGTATCCACAAGTCATTGTCTGACCAGTTGCTGTTAAATGCTATCAGTCTTCTGACTCACAGTGACCCTGTATAGGGTTTCCAAGGAGCCTGTGGTGAGTGAATCACTGAATTTGTGTTTAAAACCAACCTTGCACCAGGACTCTAGTAAACTTGGTCTAAATTAACTTTTTTTCCATGTTTTTTCCCCACATTTGAATGCCTCAGAACTATTGGTATTAGTAACCTGGCAGCATCTAGTTCTGGTCTAGGTAGTCAAGACAAGTTCCTCTGGTCCATTAGAATTAATGATGCCAAGTATCTTGGATTTTCATGACTTCCTCTGGACTAGGAGAGAACAGTAGTTGCACCTTAGATAGCTGCATGCAAACTTTTACAACCCCAGTTGCTACTTTAGGATTTAGAGCATTGGGTGAATTATATTATGTCAATTGACTCTGCTGTCCCTCCTAGACCAGGGGCTAAACATATACCAAGATCATGTCATTTGCAGGCCATACAAAGTTAAACAACTTAAAAATTACCCTGCTATATTTGGGCAAACAGCTTAATCCTAAGCCCTGCTTTGGTGCTGTGGAATGAAGCATTGGACAAGGTTGGTGTGAACCACAAGGTTAGCAATTCAAAACACATCTATCTGCCTCTTCTCAAAAACCCTATCTATACAGAGTCGCTGAGTTGGAACCAACTCAAGAACCCTTAGACAAATTGTAGTTGCCTTGGCAGGGCCAGACAATGATTCCATGGACAGACATTCCCCCACCCCTGCCCTAAACTATGATGCAAAGTGCTGTAGGATAAAGCACTGGACTGCTAACCACAAGACCAGTGGTTCATACCCACCAGTCATTGCTTGGAAACCCTATGCATGTTTGCTATGAATCTGAACCAACTCAACCACTTAAAACAAGAAGCAGAAGTATGAAACTAAGAAAATGGCAAATTGTAAAAAATGAAATGGAACATATAAGGAACAATATCGTAGGCATTATTGGGCTTCTGGCATGGTGCTGTAGGATCAGCACTGGACTGTGAACCACAAGGTAAGTTCAAACTCACCAGCTGCTCAGAAACGCTATATGGGATTGCTGAGTCAGAACCAACTCAATGATACTTAAGTGAACTGAAATGAACTGGTATTAGGCGTTTTGAATCTGACAATCATAGTTTACTATGCTGAGAATGACAAATTCAAGAGAAATACTGCTACTTCATTGTTAAAAAGAACATGTTAAGATCTATCTTGTACAATAACTGATATTAAGTAGTATTGAGTCGGCGCTTAACCATATAGGGTCCCTGTTTAAAGAGCTGCTGGTGAGCTTGAATCACTAATATTGTGGTTCAAACTGAGTCTAGCGCATAAACCACAGTGCCACACCAGGACTCCAACTGTCTGTGATATATGTATATATGGAGTCTGTGTAAAGTGGGTCTTTTGTATATTGAAGGATCCTGTTTTCCATCCTGCTACTCTGTCTCTTGACATGCATTTAATCCATTGACACTCAGCATTAAGTATTGATAGGTATGGACTGATTGCAGTAACTTTGTGATGTTGGGGATTTTTTTTCTGCATGTTTTCCTGTACTGAGTTCATTTTTTGTGTGTACATTTTCCTGTCAATATCTTCAGTGTTTTAACGTTTACAGAATCTTCATGGATTTTGCGTTCCTTAATTTGATGTGAAGTTGTATTGTTTCTTTGAGGTGACCCTGTAATTTATTTATTCCCCAATTTTAAAGTCTGTTTTATCTTGAAATCTACTTGATTTCTTCACCACTTGAAATTTTGCAACTATACTTTTTGCTCTTTTTGCTTTGTATTTGTCTTTATTATATATTGATATCTCTGATTCCCTATTTTCAGTATTGTAGTTTTGTTTTACTCTGGATACTTCTATATCTGGATTGAATTTGGGGTGGTGTTGCCATGTATATCAATCTCTGGTTGTTTGCTGCTGTTCTCAGTTCAAAGGACTCCCTTTAGTATATATATGTAAAGTGCCGTCCAGTCAGTTCTGACCATAGCGACCCTGTATAGGGTTTCCAAGGGGCAGCTGGTGAGCTTGAACCACCACCTTGCAGTTCAAATGACTTTGCAGTGACGTGCATTAGCCCACAGCGCCACACCAGAACACCTTATATATATATATATAATATGTTTAATTGACTTGATTTTTACAGATTCCTTTTTATCTGGAAATGTTCTAGTTTTCCCATTGTATTTGAGGGACAGGTTTGCTGGGTATATTCTTGGTTGGCAGGTTTTTTCTTTCATGTTTTATATATATATATGTTTGTGTGTGTGTGTCTCCCTTGCATGGTTTATAGAGATTAATTGATTTTTATCTGTAGGTAACATTTTCTTTTTCCTGAGCTTCTTTCAAGATTCTTTCCTTGCCTTGATTTTGGAAAGTTTGATTATGATATGTGTTGGTGATTTGGGGGGGAGGGGCGGGGGTCTTATCCTGTTTGGGGTTCATTCAGCTTCTTGAATGCTTATCTTCTCATGTTTCATGATATAAGGGAAATTTTCTTACAGGAACTCTATCTTTTCTATGGTTTTCTTTGTCTCTTGCTGTTCTGGAATTACGATCACTCATAGATTATTCCTCTTAATGTTGTCCCATGTGAATCTTGGGCTTTCTTCAGATTTTTTTCATTCTGTTTTCTGATCCTTCTTCTAGCTCTTACTAGTATTGAGAGGTTTATCTTAAAACTCACTAATCTGCATTGATTCAGAGCTACTCCTTTGTTCTTTCAGTGTATTGTCCATTTCTAAGTTGTTAGGGTTTTTTATTAATTTTTTTTATTGTGAATGAGTGAAGGTTTAGAGACAAGATCATCAGCTTTACATTCAACAAATTTATATATATTTTATTTCATCTCAGTTATTTCCCCTCCCTGCAGCAAAGGATATACTACTTCCTCTCTGTGGTTCCCCATTTATATCTTGTATTTCACATATGAACAAAACAAAAATATTAGATGCACACATATAAAACAAAAGATATATATACATTTAAATGCCCACAGGGTACAATCTGCAAGCCAGCCTCCTGCCTTCAGCCACATAACTTTGCTCAGTCCCTGGACCTAGAGCCCCATAGCTGCTCTGACTCTCCATGCCACTGTCTCTGTTGTAGCCGCTTTTCAGTAGGGACCTCATGCTCCATTCATGCTCTTCCTTCTTATGGTCCTGGGATTGTCTGTTCCTGAAATGAAGGATTAACTATTCTCGCCTTAGTTACACATCTACAATTTTAGTTTTGACAATCACAATTAATCCTGCTAACAATTACAAATGAATCATAAGACCTACCTGGAAAAGAGGAAAACTATTCAGTGGGGATTCTACCTTACCCTCACATTCTGAAACTGCACACACCCACTGAAATCATGTAAGTCATCGACTTCATGCCTTTATAGTCCAATTTTAGTTATCCAATGTGTTGACAATTTTTCCATCTACATTCATGAATATTGGTCTATAATTTTCTTTTTTAGTAATGGTTTTGTACACAAGTGCATGCTCACTTCATAAAATGAATTTGGGATTTTTCTTTACTTTTTCTCTGTTCTGGAATAGTTGAATAGAATTGGTTCTTCTCTAAATATTTGGTAGAATTCACCTGTGAAGTCATCTGAGCCAGACTTTTTTGTTGTAGGGATTTTTTTTTAATGATCTCATCAATTTCTTCTTTTTATAGGTTTGTTCTAATGTTGAACTTTTAGCCTGTATTTGTATAGATAGGTGGTGTATTTCTAGAAATTTGTCCAGCTCTTGTAGGTTTTCAAATTAGTTGTACAGTTCATCATATTCTGTTATCCTTTTTATTTCCATTGGTTATGTGTGACATCACTCATTTCATTTCTTATGTTATTTTCCTTTTCTCCTTAGTTAGATTTGACAGTGGCTTGTCAATGTAATCCTTTCAAATAAGTAATTTCTTGTCATATTCTATAGTTTTTCTCTTTTCTATTTCATTGATTTCAGTTTTAATCTTCATTATTCTGGTGGCTGTCATCTTATTTTACTGCTCTTTTTCTAATTAAGTGCCATCAAGTCAGTTCCAACCCTTAGCGATCTTGTATAGTTTCCAAGAAGTAGCTGTTGAGCTGTTGACCATGTGGTTCAAACCAACTTTGCAGTCCAGCGCATTAACCCACAGTGCCACACCAGAACTTCTAATTGCTGAAGATGTTGAATTAAGGTATTGATTTTGATTGTTTTTCTTTATGGATGTGTTTGTCTATTGCTATAGATTTCCCTCTGAGCACTGCTTTTGCTCTGTCCCAAAGGTTTTGGTATGTTCTGTTTTCATTCTTGTTTGATCCAAGGAGCTTAAAAAGAAATCCTTCTAATACCCAGCAGTTTTTTTTCTTTTCTTTTTTTTTTTTAAGGTTTTTATTGTGGATTGAGTGAAAGTTTACAGGGCATATCATCAGTTTTACATTTAATAAATCATACCTTGTTTCATTACAATGATTATAATCTCCTCCATGTACCATCAGTTAACAGTATTTCTCTCTATCCACTTTAGCTTTTTAAAAAACAAACAAAAAAAACCACTCAGGCATATATAATAATTTACATCTCCAAAGGGCATATTCTGCAAGTCTGTTCCTGGCCACCAGCTCTTAGTCCCTCTCGTCTTAGTCTATGAATCTATAGAGTCCTCAGCCACTCCCCCTCTCCATCTCCCCATCTCTGGCGCTGCTACTTCTCTGGATAAGGTCCCGCATTCTGCTTGTGCGTTTC